TGAACTGGCGACCCTTTGGTTCACAGGCCCGTGCTCAATCCACTGAGCCACACCAGCCAGGGCGTGTTTGGTATTTTAATACAAGATTTCTAACTAGCTGATCATCGATCTCTACGGTGAACCTGCTGAGATTCTGATCAGGATAATATTGAATCTGTGCATTGACTTGAGTCTTCTGATCTATGACCGGATTCTCCGTTTCCATCAGTCCTCTCTCAGCACCGTCTTGTTGTTTCGTCGTTTGCCACCTCTTGTCAGATTTAACCCCTGAATTTTATCTGATGATATTGTAGATGAATTTATTTTTATGTTTCTTTTGGTTTGCTTGCTAATAGATAGAAATTCAATCGTTTTTGCTGACCTTTATCTTGCAAACTTGGCAAACTCCCTCATGAGTTCCAGTGGCTTTTTGGTAGGTGCCTTAGCCAGGGGCGGCCAACCTTCTGGCATCTCTGGGCCGCGCTGGAAGAAGAAGAGTTGTCTTGGGCCACACATGAAATACACAAACACTAGCGAAAACCGATGAGGAAAAAAACGGTTTTAATAGATTTACGATTTTGTGTTGGGCCGCATTCGCTAATGTGAATTAGCCGTCCCGGGCTGCGCGTGGCCTGTGAGTCGCGGGCCAACATGCCTGCTACAGGGTTTTCCGTGCAACTGGCCACGTCATGAGCAAAGTGACAGCTTCACTTTGTACTTTTAAAACATGTTTGCTTCTTCTCTTTGCCATGTTGCCTTAGCTAGAACCACCAGTACCATGTTGAATGAAAGCAGTAAGAACAGAAGCCCTGGCCGTGGTCTTGAACTTAGGGGGAAGCGTTCAGCCATCTACCGCGAGTGGTGTTCGTGGTAGCTTTTTCACGACGACAGACCACGTTGGTTTGAGAAATTTCCTGTAATTTGGATTTGCTGAGAATATTTGTAAGGAATAAGACATTAGGTTTTGTTAAGTGAGCCTCTTGCATTTGTTGATAGGATCATATAGTTTTTCTCCTTTGCTATGTCAGTATTGTGAATTATATTATTTGATTTTCAATCGTTAAATCAACCTTGTATTCTTTTATAACCCCATTTGGCCACATGGTAATCTCCTTTTTGTCTATTGCTGGATTAGATATACTCAAATATTGTTAAAATTTGCATCTATGTTCCTTAGGAATATTACTCCGAAGTTTTCTTATAATATCGTTTCTGGTTTTGCAGGCAGGATCATGCGAGCCACACAGAATAAGTTGGGAAATGTTCCCTTCTCTCTAGTTTTTTGAAAGGATTCGTTCAGGGCAGATTTAGCTTTTCTCTTAAATGTTTGGTGAAGGGGTCCAGCCAAGCCATATGGACCTGGGATTTTCTCTGTGAGAAGGTTCTTAACTACACATTCAATTTCTTTAATGGATATAAAGCTGAACTATTCTGATTATCTATTTCTTTTTGTGTGAACTCTGAGAGTTTGTGTCTTCCAAGTAATTTCCCAATTGCATTAAGTTATAAAGTTTATTATATTTATCTAAAGTTATTTATAACACTTCTCATTATTATTATTTGTTTTTTGCCTGTAGGATTTGTTGTGATGTCTCTCCTTTTATGTCTTAATATTGGTGATTTGTTTCCTCATTTTTTCCCCAGATCTGTCTGGCCCACTGGGGTCATCTTTTCAAATACTTTGCATTTGTTTTCACTGATCTTCTCTATTATTTTACTTTCCCCTATTTCATCAATTTGTTATTATCTTTATTATTTCTTGTCTTTTGCTTAATTTGAAATCAAGTCTCTCTTTTTTCTCATTTCTTAAGGTAGAAGCTAAGATCAGTGTGTCAAAAACTTATTTTCTAGTTATTTAGTGTTCTAAGTCTTATCTTTAGCACTGTTTTAGCTGCGTCTCGTACATTTGACATGTCAAGTCTTTATTTTTGTTCATTTAAAAACACACTCTGATCTTCCCCATGGCTTCCTCCCTGACCCATGAGTTCTCTAGACGTATGCTATTTAGTTTCTAAATGTTTGGGGTTTTTTCAAATATCTTTCAGGCACTGATTTCTGATTTAATTTGGTTGTGGTCAGAGAACACACCTTATATGACTCAAATTCTTGTAAACTAATGATAATTATTAGTTATTATTACATTGGTTCCAGAATAAGATCTATTTTGGGAAATATATGTGTGCATTTGAAAAGAATGTGTGTTGTTCTCTACTTAGGTAGCATACACTATAAATCTCAAAAAGGTCAAAGGCTTCTCGTATTGTTCGAAAATGCTGTGTCCTTACTGATTTTCTGTCTGCTTGTTTTATAAATTACTGAGAGAGGTCTCTAAAGCACCCAGCTGTGACCACGTTTTATGGGTGTTTTCAGTCCTATGGGTTTTGGTTGCAGATATTTTGAGCCCTATTTTTAGGGGTATAAACATTGAGCATTGTTCTATCTTGTTGATGAATGGACTCCTTTATTATTATTATTAAATGATTTTCTTAATCCTCGCTAATGCCATTCCTTCCGAAATCTACATTGTCTGATATTAATGTAGCCTCTCCAGCTTTCTTCTGCTTCCTCGTCGCATGAAACAGTTTCCGTCCTCTTTCTCTTAACTTACCTATTTCTTTTTAATAAGGGGAGTAGGCAATGTGTCGTGTTCTCTTGCCTTTTTATTCAATCAGACAATTTCTGCCTTTTATTTGAGGTGTTTAGAGCATTTACATTTAATGTGGTTGATATAATTGAATTTAAATCCACTATGTTGCGTTTATTCTCTATTTGTCCCGTATGATGGATTCTGTTTCCTGACTTCCTTTGGATAAATTGAGTCATTTTTATTTTTCAGTTGATGTCCTCTGTTGGCTTATTTACTGTAGTTCTCAAAAATACAGGTTTTGGAGGCTTATAGTATTAAACTTACCGTCTTAAGCTGATCAAAGCCTATTTTATGTCATATTAGATGATTTTCCTACAAACAGTGTAGCAATCTTATAAGGCTGCCGGTCCGTTTGTCCCTGCCAGTCCCTTTGGTGTTTTTGTCATGCCTTGTATTTCTACTTACACTTTAAATCCCACAACAGACTGTTACCATGTTTGGTTGAAACAGTCTTTTTGTTAAAAATCCTCACCTGAGGATATGTGTTACTGATTTTAGAGAGAGAGGAAGGGAGAGTGAGAGAGAGAGAGAGAGAGAGAGAGAGAGGAACATCGACGTGAGAGAGAAACGTGGATGGTTGCCTCCTACATGCGCCCTGACCAGGGTCAAAGCTGCAACCCAGGTACGTGCCCTGATGGGGACTGAACCTGTGACTTTTGGTGTATGGGACTACACACCAACCAGCCACCTGGCCAGGGCCAGTCAATTATCTTTGAAAGAGGCTTTTTAAATATAAGAGAACATTTCTTTTATATTTATCCAATACTTGCCATTTCTGGTGCTCATTATTCCTTTGTGTACATCCCATTTTTTGTTTGTTGCTTTCTGCTCCAAGGACTGATCCCACCCTTCCTCTCAGGGAAGGTCTGCTTCTGCCGACTTCTGAGCCTGGAAGAGCTTTTTCCACATTTGTTTTCAAACGGTGTTTTTCTGGCCGGGTAGCTCACGCCAGACGGGTGGCATTCACCTTTCAGAGGTCGCCGAGCCGTCCGCCTGTGTCATCTCCCACGAGAAGTCGGCTGTCAGTGTCACCTCTGCTCTCTATGTGTGCTGGGCTCCTCCCCGCCCCACCCGGCTGCTCGCAGAACTCCCTCTTCATCCCTGGTTTTGGGCAATTTTATTATGATGTGCTTTGCTGTGGTGGTTGGCATGTTTCTTGTATTTGGGGTTCATTTAGCTTCTTGTATTTGTGGGTTTACAGTTTTCGCTGAATTTGAAAAGCTTTTTCAGATATTTTCCTGCCCACTTGCCTCTCTGTCGGGGACCCTGACTGCAGGCGTGTTGGGCCGTCCGAATGCGCTGCTGCTCACAAGCTCTCAGTGTTTCCCCATCTTCTCTCTTTGTCACTTCTGGGTCCGTTACTATTGTTTTTTTCCCTGATTATGGGTCCTATTTTCCTGACACTTTGTAGTCTTAATAATTTTTTATTGAATGCCAGCATTTCGAGTTTAATTTTGTTGCCCTGGCCAGGTGGCTCAGTGTGTGGAGCCACTGAGTGGCTCAGTACACCAAAAGGTTGCGAGTTCGATTCCTCGTCAGGGCACATGCCTGGGTTGTGGGTTTGATTCCCGGTCAGAGCGTATACGAGGGGCAGCCAGCCAATGTTTGTCTCCTTCTCCCTCTCCCTAAAAATCAGTGTACATGACCTCAGGGGAAGATTAATAAAAATAAACAGTAAAAATAAATTTTAGTTTCTTGGTTGCTGGATATTTTTATATTTCTTTACATATTCCTGAGAGCTTTGTTCTCGGAAGCCATTATGTTACTTGGGAACAGCTAGACCCTCGCGAGGCTACTTTCAAGCTTCGTTAGGCTGGACCAGAATGGCCGTTGGCGTGGGACCATGCTGGCTCCACCCCTGGGGCAGCATCCTCTGCGTCCTCTTCCCGGTGCTGGGTGGAATAATCCGTGTATAGTGCACACAAAAACGTGGGTGCACACTGCACACAGCCAAACATGGCATCCCTGCCCCTCTGTGAGCCTCCAAGGCCATCTTGCCTGTTTCCCCCTGGTGGGCCTTTCCTGGCCTCACAGGCACGAGCCGGTGGGACTCTGCGGCACAGGGGGGCCCTCTGCAGAGCCCCGAGCCCTCTGTGCACACGGCTGCCCTCCCCTGCGGCCCCTGCGGCCCCTGCCCTCCAGGACGCCGCCCTGCCGTTTCAGCCTTGGCCTTTACCGGGCTCTCGGCTCTGCTGCCTCGTGGGACGGGGGTGGGGGGAGAGCCCCAAGCTCTGTGCGGCCGGCCTCTCCTGCGGGGTGACCTGGGCACGTCTTCTGGGTGATGGCCGGAGGGCTCACCTCGTTCGTCCCCCTTGTCTCAAGGCCCCTGTCCTGGGCCTCCCGTGGTTTCACATTCGGAAGCTGCGGGCTGGTCTCTCCCCTTCAGTTGTTTCATCTGGTGGTGGTTCCGGGTGGGAGGGTCCGTCTGTCCCTTTGACTGCCTCGTGGTCACAGGCAGAACTCCTACGCAGGCAGCTTTTTATTGGGGTAAAATACACATAGAGTTTAGCTTCTTGACCTTGTTAAGTACAAGCACCCCCGCCAGCCACGTCCAGAGCTATTTTCATCTTCCCAGACTCACTCTGCCCCCGTCAAGCCCCGACCCCCGGGCCCTCTGCCCCAGCCCTGGGCACCCACCGCTCTGACTTCTGTGTCTGTGAACCCGCCTCTCCTAGCTGCCTGGTGCAGGTGCGGTGCTACAGGTGCTTGGCCTTCTGTGCCCGGCTTACTTCATTCACCAGCTGAATGTCGTCCAGGTGCCTCCACAGTGTGGCTCGTGTCAGGGCTCCCCTCCCTCTTCAGCTTAAACTGAACGATGTCCCGTCGTGTGGCAGCGCGGCAGGCTGTCTGCCCGCTCACCTGCCGGCAGACGTTTGGCGTGTTTCTGCCACTGGCCGCTGCGAATGGATAATGCCACCACGGTACGGTGTGCCGATACCTCTTCGAGTCCTGCTTTTAACTCTACTGGGTGTACACCTTGAAGTGGAATTGCTGAATCCTGCGGTAACTCTGTGTTTAACTTTTGATGGACCACCCACCAGACTCTGCTTCCGCAGCAGCTGCACCATCTTACACTCCTGCCAGCGACGCACGGAGATGCCAGTTTCACCTGCTCCTTGCCAACACCTGTCGCTCATGTTCTGGGACAGCGAGACTGCGATGGGAGTGGAGCCAGACCTGGAAGGAAGGACATTTTATAATCGCCCACATGTGTGGTGTCTAGTGCACGCAGACAGCCTTCCGACTTCCTCCCCCATGTGAAAGAACGGCCTCTCAGTCCCGTGGGGCAGGGGGTGGCGGGCGGGCAGCTCGCCCGGGGCCAGGGCGGTGGAGTCAGCCCCCAGCAGCATCACTGGTCTTGTTGACTGACCACACACCTGGCCCCTACCTGGTGCCGACAAGCCCTCAACGCGCCCCAGGGGCTGCTTGGTTGGAAGCCTCGGATGGCAGCAGGGAGACTGTATGAGTCCGTGTGTGGCTGCGGCAGCAGAGGGCGTGGTGGGGAGGGGTGGCAGGGGAGGCTGGGCTGTGCCCCAGGGTCACACTTCCCTGAGATGCCTTCAGATGAAACTCAGGAATTTGATCTCCCTCTTGGGAGCTAAGGGAAGGTTTTAAGTAGGGGTCTGCCTGGCTAGACCCCGGTGGTTCAAGGTCACGCTGACCATGGCAGCTCGGAGGGCACCGGGGAAGATGAGACTCCGGGCGATGAGCGAAGACCCGGGGAGAGGAGGCGGGGCTGGCTGTGCAGGGATGAGCTGGAGGCCGGGGGGTTGCCAGCCCCTGGCTTCCCCCCCCCCCCCCCGCAAGGGTGACGGCGGTGCAGGGCCTGGCTCAGGGGAGCCCGCTTGCCCGGGCGGAGCTGGGGGCCGGGAGTCCACTGCATGTTTGGCAGCTCACAATTGGCACGGAAATAGGCTGAACTGTGAAAGGGGAGAGCACCTTGCCTCAAACTGGGCAGGTCTGTTTGGTTTCTGGAATCTGTGAAGGTGGTCAGAGGCGTTGCTGAAGCAGCCTCAGCTGCTCGTCTTGGAAGCTCAGCAAACGTGAGGGATGAGCCGGAGCTGCCGGCTGCTGGCTCAGTGCTTAGCGAGTGTCGACGCCCCTCCCCCTCGCCCCTCCCCCCGCTCCCTCCCCGCTGGCCCACCTGGACACTGAGGGAACCACTGTCAGGGAAATGGAAGACTCCTGTTTGCTCCTCCCCATGGAGCTGATGGCCACTTCTGCTCTCGATTCCAGTTGGCCTCTGGGCAACTGGCAAAGAAGCAGGTGCCATTTGTCACGGAAAACAAAACCCATGCTTATGTGACTGCAATAAACCTTCCGATGTCAGGGGCCGACTGTCTGGATCCATCGGCGACGCGGCCCACATGCAGCTCTAGGCTGGTGGACGTGTTCAGAGGACAGTGAAGTTCCAGAAAGGGCCCCAAGAGAGCAGTCAGTGGTGGCATCACCACAGAGAAATGTACCCCTCCCCGCCCGGGTCTCAGAGTTTCAGGACATTTTTCTATAATTAGAATGGAACTCCTGATAAATTGCACAAACCAGTACAGCCAGGACTGGTATTTCTAAACTCGCACGGCGTGCCTGCCTGAGGGCCCCGGTCAGCCCCTCAGCACCACGCTCGGTCGGTCCTCGACCTTCTAGTCCTTCTCTCCCGGCCCTAGCCCTGCTCCCTCTCCGTGGCCCCCTCCCCCTCCCTCCTTCTCCCTCACAGTCCCACTTACCTATTGCTATTCTTCTGAAATTACCATTGCCACTTATGAAAATTGGTCTTCCTGTACCAGCAGTGATGACAGATCTCCAAGCAATTTCTTCTTTGGAGAATTTCTGTGCTTTTGAAAAAAACACCTCTGGATACTTCAAAAAAAAAAAAAAAAAAGGCAGCTGAGGGAGCTGCGAAGAAAAGCTAACACCTCTGTTTCTAATGGTGTTTTTATAAGGTCCGCACTGGGAGACTCGGAATTCTGCAGAGAGGAAGAAAGGCCTAGAACAACGCTAATCGTGTGCATGGAGCCTTTACTCATAATCGAATGCGCAGCCACACTTTTACACACCTCAGCCATTAGGGGCTCGGATTTGGGATCTCCTGTGCATTTCGAAGTGGGGCTAAAATATCAGCCCCTAACTGATTCCTCCCGAGCAAGCACAGAGCACAAAATTTCACAGGGTGGATCTACTGTGAAAAATGTAAATACTGGAAAACACCAGCAAATTCAGCGTTGTCCAGCGGAAGTGCCGCTGTAGGGGGAGAGCGCCATGGCTTTTCACGAGCATTGTTAGGAGGGAGCGTGTCACTTCCACGCAGAAAACACGGCTGAGGCCTCGACCCCTCCCTCCTCTCTCCTCCTCGGTAGCAGGTGTGCGGTGGACGGGGGGCCGTGGTGCGGCCTGGGACCCCGAGGATGGGGCTCGCAGAGAAAGGAAGTTCAGGCTGGAAAGGAGGGGGAGGCCACAGCAAGGGTGCTCACTGTTTGCACGCTGACCCCTGAACCCCCCACCACTGCCACCCCCGTGTGTGTCACTGTGTCTTTGGACCAGACTGATGACCTGTGATGCTATTCAAGTGTCAGGTGTGCAGGGTGCTCTGTTAGCACTGGGCAGGCAGCAGGGGACAGCGGGACGTGAACCTGCCGCCCCGGCGGGTGGCCCCGCTCTGTGCGGAAACACCCAGCGCACAACTAAGGAGCAGTTAAGGACGTCATCCTGATTGTCCTCCGTCACCGCAGGAGTGGCCGGCAGAGGCCTGGGAGGTGTGGAAGGGACGGACTAGACCCAGACTGAGGGCTTTGTGTGTGAACTGGGCGGGGGCCGTGTCCGGGGTGGGGAGGGTGTCCCGGGTGCAGGAAGAGGCAGGCTGTGGAGGCGGAGGGGGTCGCCTCCCCTGAGGTCATGCCTCCCGGCAGCAACACCCTGACACCTTCTTGGTGTTGCCATCACCCCTCAAAAGTCATCATGAGGTCGCCTGGACACCTTTGTCCTGAGGGTCTTGAACCGCCCTGGAACGGAATGCAGACCCTCCTCCTGCCTGGGCAGCCCCAACGGCACCACACCCTCTGGCCACCGGGTGCTTCGTTTTCTGCGCCCCACGGAGACGATGGCAGCCGCTCCGTCCCTGGCATCTGGCCCTGATGCACCATCTGCCCTAGACAGCAGCCCGCTTTCTTCTCATCCCTCCCTCTCCACTTCTCGTTTGGACTTGGGGACGGACGACCACGCTGCGGCTCAGGCTCGGCGAGCTGTGCAGAGCCAGGGGCTCGGGGACGCTCGGGTGCTCAGGCCTCTTCCTGCATTTTCGCCAGGACGCCCATCTCTGCTTCCAGCTCGGCTCTCCAGGTGGCCGGCACAGGTAGGGGGCGGAGGGGCGGGGCTCCGGTGGACCCTGCCCACAGGCTGCAGGTGCAGGGCAGATTTTAGGGACCCTCGGAATCACCTTCCGTTAGCTAACGTTCTTTCTAAAAAACATCCTGCAAGGAAATTGGACAGAGCGCTAATGCAGGCACAGAGTCCGGAAAAAAAAAACAACAACCTGTTTTCTTCTCAAAGCGTTATCAGTGGCTCGCCATATGGTTTCGGCCAAACCACTTGGCTGCTGTAAGATTTTCTATTCCCAATTGCAAAGCCGAGCTAATAGAATTTGCCACCCCACCAGGATATCACAAGCACTAATCAGAATGTCTATAAATGCCTTTGAATTCCTTGGGAAAAACATGCGACCAAAATACCAAGTGAAATTTATATAATGTCATCCCAACCCCAGGTCTTCGTTTCGAAAGTGGGAATTTAGGGCCCTGCGGACGCACTCACTGTGGTTCTCACCGGCAGCATGACGACCAGATGCCCTGGGCCTTCATTTCTTAGAATATAAGATGGTGAACTCTGCCAGGTTGAGGCTCAGAAAATTCTCGAACGCGAGTGAGCCCATCCCAGAGACCTGGGTGCATGGAGGAGGTTTGCCGAGAACGCCCAGGCTCGTTCGATACATTTCTGCCGCCCAGTTTGATCCCCCGACCTCTGGGGCTGCTGGGACCAGTGACTCCCACGCTCGAGTTTCTCTGTCCTTTCTGTGGGGAGCGTGGAGGGAAACTCCTGCGGATGGACCTGCAGGGTCCCTCCCTCAGGGAGAAGCCCCTCGACCTTGGATTTGACTCCCTGGTGTGGCTTAATTAGACCCAGGTCCACGTGCTCACTCTGGAGATCTCTCCAAAGAGAGCAGGAAAGACCCAGCAACCCCAAATTAGTCCAGGAGCCAGCATGTCCCTTGCTTTAAAGAACACAGTAAACATTTCAGAAGAGCCTGCCAGCCGGTTATCTAACTCCCCACGTAGCGGCTTCAGGGAAAACAGCGGTAGGCAAACACCATTTGCCAAAAGCGAATCTGGGGGATGGGTGTTGATTTTAGAAGAGAAGGAAGGAAGAGCTCCTGCAGGCCGCACGCAGGTTCCCAGGCCCCCTCCTCGGCCCGGAGGCAGAGACCGTTCCAGCAGACCCCTTGTGGGGAGCCCCAGCCCCTCGATCTCTGCTACTGGGGGTGTCCCTGAGGGTGGAGGAAGCCCATGTGTCCAGCAGGTTCCCTGTGAGACAAGACGCGGCTCCCAGGCCGGGGGTGGGAGAGCGGACAACCACTCTTTCCTTTCCCCAGCAGGTTCTCTCCTCAGAGGCTGGCCTGTTGGCTCCGTGCTCAGGGGCCCGGGTCCCACTGAAGGGTGGGCCGCCCAGACATCAGCGCGCCCTCGATCCCCCACCCCGGATCTGCCCTCCTTAACAGTCCGGCCACACGGAATCAGCACGTCCTACGGCCGTGGGAGATTCCGGTTAGTTCAGAAAGAAAGAACTTCCTAGAGTCTACCAGCAAAGAAAGGCTATTTTGTGAGGTGCATTGGGTATGTGTGTACCCCCAAAATGAGCATTAGCCGCCCCTTCCAAAAACCCCCACAATCGGCGAGTTGCACGGGGCTGTTGAGAGCCGCCACATTTCTTCCTCAGGCTCCGGGTCCGGTTCTCCTTCTACCGGGAGCTGGGAGCCTGCAGTGGCTGAGCAGCCGTTGCTCCGGTGACCTCCTGGCGATGTTAGAAAATCTCCACTTTGTTGTGCGGGGCACAGGTCAGCCTGTCCGCAGGGGTTCCTGTAATTGCACAGGACGGGCTTTGTGCAGGCTCACGACTTCTCTCCTCTCCAGCCGTTCATTAGGAGGGCGCCCTAGCCTGCCGCTGACCTGAACCGCCCGCAGGCGGGCTTCTGGGAGGCACCTGGCGGGCCTCTGTCCGGGGATCTTAATTAGGAGGCGCTGCTGGGTCTATCGAGCAGCCTCAATTGGCCCCGGGGGGAGCCCGACTCCCCGATTTTCTGGTTTTCCGTGCTCCTTCCCTACCTAGTAAATGGTGGCTGGCAGCTTGAAGGTGAATCACCACCGAGGTGGGGGTGTGTTTAGAAGCCCGCCCCTCACCCCGGTATCTTTGCAAACTGCCTCCTCTCTCAAAGGCCCCGTTTTCTTCCCTGCAAAGCTTGAGGGGAGGAGAGGTGTCAGGTGGGCCTGGGCTTGGCCTTGTCTCCCCCCTCCCCACATACTAGGTGATAAGGCCCTTCCATGCCCAGAGCCTCGGTTTACCCAGCAGGAAGGCAGGAAGGAGGAGCTGTCCACATGCAGTCGGGGCCGTGACCGCGGCCATGACTGTGGCCCTCACACCGAAGGCACAGTCACCCCACCTGGAACTAGTCACACTTAGGCCCCCTGGAGACCCAGAGAAAGGGCTGCCCCAACTGGGCCTGTGGCTGGTGGGGGCGGGACCACTGCACAACGCCCATCTGGTTTAGTGGGCGTTTGTCCACAGCCACCAGGACACCCTCCCGGGTGCATCACAACGATGCCCCCTGAGCGGGTCCCAACCTGCTCTTTGTCTTTGCTGCCCCTCGTGCTGTGTCCTTCTGTCCTTCCGAACTGTACAAGTGTGTTAGCCAGGCCCCCGTGGTGTTGGGGGGCAGGCCTGGGACCCCCATGGCATTTCAAAGTCACCTCCCGTTTCCTGCTGGTTTGCAGAGGGTCAGGGAAGACATGGGCACAATTGCACGGGAACCTCCTTGTAGGCAAAAGGGACAAGATGGGACCCTCTGCCCCTCACAATGAAAGAGCTCAAGGACCATGCCTAGGGCTGTGGGGGGTTCTGGTGGTGCGTGCTGGGCTGGCAGGGCTGGAGCTGCGAGGGGACAGGGGCTGCCCGTGCGGGGTGACCCATCAGAGCTGTGGGGTTGGGACCATCGCTGTGATGCACCCAGAAGGGTGTCCTGGTGGCTGTGGACAAACACCCACTAAACCAGATGGACGTTGTGCATGAGCCCCGCCCCCACCGGCCACAGGCCCAGTTGGGGCAGCCCTTTCTCTGGGTCTCCAGGGAGCCTAAGTGTGACTAGTTCCCAGTGTGGTGCTGTGGCCACATAGGCACTGGGGGGCTGTCTGGAGGGAGGGCCGGTGGGCCATGGAGGGCTGAGCACCAGGCAGGCAGCTGCCCTACCGTCTCCTGAGGGGCTGGGTAGCCAGCACCGGGGATGGTGCTGGGGCAGGGCCTGCTGGCTCGCTCACCATGGGGGCGACTGTTGAATACAGCAAAGGCCGGCATCACCCCAGACTGGCTCTGTCCATCAGCAGCTCTAGGTGGCAAGAGTCAGCCCCCAACTTGGCTTCCTGGAGGGGCGTGGCTAACGTGACCGACCTCTGACCCCAGACAGTACTCCAAAATAAATTCAGTTTTGAAGAGACAGATGAAAAGTCCTCCTGAGGTTGAATCTGGTTCGACGGGAAAGGCTCTGCTCCGGGCACCGTGGGTCTCAGACAGCAGGTCTCCTCTCC